TCAGTTTCCTGGCCACGTCCCCTCCCAGCTTTTTGTGCACCCTGGCCTCTGCTGGAAGGGCACGCTGAGGAGGCCTTGGCTCGGTGTGAGAGCTGCTTAGCAACAGCTAAAACATCAGCGTCTTATCAACATTATTCCCATCCTAAAGCCAAAGCTCAGCACGAAACCAGCTACTAGGAAGAGAATGAACTTTATTCCAGCCCAAACCAGGACAACTCCATACTGAATGATGAAGTTTTCTCCCGTTCTAATATTCCACATCATGCATCTTCCTCCTCCCCCCCCTTTTTTTTTTTTCCTATACACTGGAACTTTGCCAGGTAATTCACTGTATGACAGCAACTAGCAAAATCCTTTGCCTTCCTGATAAACTTTTTTAGTTCATCAACAGTGCTAAGGTAGCTGTCTCGAAACAGCTTGTAAAAGAGTAGCCTGCGGTCGAAGTACTTCTAACACACTCCTTTCAAAAAGTGCTTGCTATTTTATTCTTCAAAGAAGAGCTAAAAGCTTTCCCTGTTTTACAGTTTCTCTCATTTTTTCCCCATCAATACAGAGATTTCCAAAGTTGCCTGTAAGTAGACTAAGTCCACACGTGCAGCTGCATGCGGTTGTACATAGATATAACTGGGGGAAAAGTCCCACAATGGAGCATTGTTCTAGCCTAATTGGTAGACAGGCAAATGGGAAAGGAATAGCGTGGCATTTTCTGGCATAGATTAGCAGAGGCAGCCACTGCAGTCTACATTTGTTTAGGTTGGGTGAATAAATTGGAGCATTTGTTACCGTATTATAGATGTCTTGTCACTTGTCAAATGTGAAGTGGGCCAAGAAAAATATAAAAAAGGCTCTTGTCAAGCTGCTGAGATGGCCTGCTCTGCTGCTGTCAGCTCTGATTGCAGTTAATTTTGCAAATAGAATACAGTTGCCATTTCCAGCACTGAAGCATGAATTTTTAATAACGACAGAGCAAACCAACCAAATCAAAGCAAGTGCCATACCTCGCATGGATATTAAAAATAATTGATTACTGAGTGTGGGAGGAAGGCATCACATGAACAAACAATAACAACAAAAAATCTCTTAACCTGTTTCTGTAAGATTTCTTAATTGCAAAGGGAGCATATAGTCTTCAGGGAGTGAGAATAACCCCCTTGAACATTATTGCTTTGGCTTCTGTTCTGTTTTGTTTCTTTGTTAATTCAGATATTCTGCGTGTTAATCAGAACAGTTCATCAGCTTTTATGGCTATTAGAGCTACTGAAAATTTCTGCAGAAGGTCTGCAGAAAGTTGTTGCTGAATAAAAAAAGGATTAAAGAAAAATAAATAGTTCAAAGTTTAAGCCAGCTGGAAAAATAAAACAACAATTTGAGCTTGGGTCTTTTAAAACGCTTTCTAACTGGAAACTTCAGAGGGATGCAATTCCTTCTATTTTTCTGATGTATGGTTTTCACAGAATATTTTACATCAGCTCTTGCTACAGTGTTTGGTTGCTTCAATTGTGACGTTGGAATAGCTTTCATTCCCAGCTCCCCCCCAAAAAGGCTTTTGTACACTGTGTGAGGTGACACGGGACTGTGTTGTAACAGTTAGCAGTTCTGCTGGGAATCTCTTCATCGTGTGGCTGCAAAAGAGGCTGTGGCGAGAGAAGTTTTTTGGAGAGGAATTTAATTAAATAAGTGCTGTAGCACTTTAGCCCTGGGTAAATAGCTAGCTGTAATGTGTTAGGCAGGTTCTAGGGGATCTAGGATAACACCAGGCAAGTCACAGCAGAACACTTCTGTAGCCTTGAAAACATTACTACCAACATTAATAATCAAAATACCTCCATGATACAGATAAAACTAATGAGCCAGACAAGCGTGTTTGTCTAGATTTTTAGAGAGAACCAATGTCGAGTTCTCATCTCAGTGCTGTGCTCAGAGCCTGCTGCCAACGCTTTTTTTCTCTACCAGAAACGTCTTAATTGAGTCAAATATGGTTATAAGCAGCACTGTGATTTTTAAACTGTGTTATAATAAAAGCCATGATTTTTTGCACCTATTAAAAATTGCCCACTATAATGATCAAGGAGGGGAGTGGAACTTTGTGAGATATGCTTTGATAGTGTCTTCTCTGCTCACATGCTTTTGAATGTCCAAGGATGTAGATGTATGTCTATCAAGAGCCTTGTTGTGTAATAATTTGGAATTAAATTTAAGGTTCTCTGCAGCAGAATTTGCCACGCAGCCAGAACTTTGAGTTGGCCAAGTAGCTCATTCCCCTCCTTACTTCTTTTTCCTATAAGTCTCAGCTAGAGTTATGTTAGAAATCAGAAGAATTTCCCAAGAAGCATCCGGTTTAACTCTCAATAAACTGTCCTGGTTGTCAGCTGAAGTGAATATTTTTTTTTTCTGGTCTGCTAGGTCAACAGAGAAAAGTTTTCTTTTCGCTGTTCGTTTTCAGCCGTGTATGTCCGTGGGACAGAGCTGAGTTTGGGAATATTTCTGTGGTAGTGTTTGCCTGCAGAAAAAGCCGGAGCAGCTGAATGTGTCCAAAGCAGGATTATTTTCTTCTCTTTGCAAGGAATTCATACTCATTATGTTATTGCTAATTTCAAGGCGTCTTGGTTGTCCTGGGTGTGGTCAAAATATTACTTTGTCTGCAATTGGATGTGTGACCATATGCACAGGTGAACACAGGACAGATCTGCATCACATAAAGTCTGATTGTTGCTGCTGTGGGGAGCTAAGAGTGTTTTGTATTTGTGGTGTGAATTTTTGGGGAGTATTAACAGTGGCTTTCAGCCTGTTGTCTCGCCAGCAAGTCTAGGCGCCGTTTGGGCCTTAGACTGCCAGTTCCTTCCTCTGGTATGTTCAACTCTGCCCTTGTTCACAGGGAACCAAGGATAAGCTGCAATCAGTTGTGTGAAGAGACAAAACATACACATTTGATTTGTATCTGTCTGTTCCCATGCAATGATCCTTGTAACCTTGGTTGCCTTAGAAATACATGTAACAGTCATATCCGTTAATAGATAGGACTGACTAGAGCTTATTACCGGTTAATATATAACTGATAACTGTGTTATCAGTTGCTAGGCAATCATTTGATGCTTCTCTGCTTCACACTACTCAGACTTTAATCTTAATACTAATGATTGCAGACACATCACTAGAATAGAAATTCAGAAGTTAAGGTAAGTATGAAACTCAGAGCGCTGTGGGTGGCTGAACAACCGCAGTGCTGCTCACTTTTTGAGACACTTGAGCTAAAATAATTTACATTAAGTTTTAGTTTAAAACTCTTCTGTGTTTGTGGAGTGCTTGGATGACCAGATACATCTCCCTTTCCACATTTAATTTTGAGGCTTGACTTTTTACTTAACTTACACTAAACAGGAGTTTTTATTTTTACTCCCACAAGTGCAATATTTCATAGCCATAGAAGCAAGACATAAAACTGTGTTACAGTGAGGTGTTTGTGTCTGCTGTAGCTGCTGTGCTGTTGTGGCTTGCTCTCTGACCTCTGCAGTTGCAAATCTGTGCCCTGGTTTGCAGGTGCTTTCTCTAACAGTGAGGATTTCCACCTTTGGCTGATCATTCAGGAGCTGCAGTGACTCAAGGTGGTTCAAAGTGCACATCAAACTATGTCCTCTGTGCTGTGTTGCAAACCTGCTTGGGTGATGATACAACACTGCTTTTCTAGATCCTTTCCTTTTACTGCACACTTACAGCCCTGAGCACCATTTCTTTTCAGAGCTGCTGGGATACAGTTTGGAGATTAAGCTCTGATTTCCAAACCTGAAAGCAAACAGCAGCAAAGTTCAAGTTCCCAAAGTGAATGTGAATTTTATTTTAATTTCAATGTGGATTGAACTTCTGAGTCTCCAGAACTGCATGCCTAGGTACAAGTTGTTTCTAGAAGAATGTTCTCCTGAGGATGTGGGTTTCTGTTCTATTTAGTGGGCTCAGAAGGTAGGTGTCGTGTTGGCCATTGTCCTTCAGCCTGGGCTGTTGGTGGGCACGGGAAGTGACCAGCTCCCACTGCTATTTGCTGATCTACATGAAATGCGACAAGTGACTTTTGTTCTGGTTTCCAGCTTTGGAGTGTTGCTAAATGATGAAAACTCCTTGTCAGTTTTCAAACTACGCAGCATGGATTTAGTAACAGAATAGGAAAAAGACTCATACTGTTCTTTTTGTACCAAAACAGGCATGGGTAAACGTGGGGGAAATGTGTTAGACAGCTGGATAGTTCGCTGCGTGTCCTGTTTTTGTACTGATAAGAGAAGCTGCCAGAAAGACGACACTGAAGGTGGCATTTGTCTTTGAAATGTGCTCCAAGTGGTTGTTTGGCACCCTTTCCACAAGCAGTGAAACTTGGCAGTGGGGGAGGGAGAAGAGGAGAGAACAACAATCTATTGCCTTACCATTAGTTTTGCATCAGCTTTGGCCAGATGAGAAATACTCGCTGGAGTTGCGACTTGCTCTCTTGTTGGGCGTCTGGAGCAAGTCATTAATGTAGTTTGTTTACAAAACACTCAAGTCTTCTGTTAGCTCTTTTCATTTATTATGTAGGGCTTGTGTGAGAAAACCATGTCTAATGCGCTGGTACAGCTAGTGGGAAGTTTGGCTGAGCTGAGGAGTTCTGTAAACATGATGAAATATTTGGACCTACCCCTGCCATTTTTTGTTTTGGTTTGTTTTTTTTTTTTTTTTTTTACTGTATTTTTTTTAAGATTCCAGGTAGAGATTACTATGTTCCTTATTATTTTAGGAGGCTGAGAGAAAGATGCTGCCATTGTGAAATAAGAGTGCCAGCACAAGTAACTACTTGAGAAGAACTGATTAGAATTTACTCCCTGTTCAGACAAGTCTACATTTCAATGAAAGTTCGATGCCCCTATTTTGGGGAAATCTCTATATTATAGTGACAGTGGCAGTTGACAGCTTGCTGTGCTCTATTGAGATGTTCACATCAACAGCAGAGGAAATGCTACCGTGAATGGTTTTCTCCCCAGGTGCTGAAGAAGTCTTGCTGCTTGCCAGGAGGACTGACTTGAGGAGGATTTCCCTGGACATGCCAGATTTCACTGACATTATTCTGCAGATAGACAACATCAGGCACGCCATTGCCATAGACTATGATCCTGTGGAAGGCTACATCTACTGGACGGATGATGATGTCCGAGCAATTCGTCGGGCCTATCTTGATGGCTCTGGAGCACAAACTCTGGTAACCACAGAAATAAACCATCCAGATGGCATTGCTGTGGATTGGGTGGCGAGGAACCTGTACTGGACTGACACTGGAACAGACCGCATTGAAGTAACCCGGTTGAATGGGACATCAAGAAAGATCCTTATCTCAGAAAACCTAGATGAACCTCGAGCCATAGTGCTCAATCCTGTAATGGGGTAAGTTCTGTGTTCATTGATAGCCCTGTGAGAGGTCTTTGGATCCTGTTTATGGTCTTCTGAAACTGAAAATATGCAGATTGTGAGATGATGTGTATATTACAAGCCAAATGTTCTGGAAGTAACTGGCATTCCCTTGGTTTATGCTTTTCATACTCTGTATATAACAGGTGACATCTAAATATAGTGCTCTTCAGTGAACTTATAAATTGTGTATTGGGCAGAATTTTCTCTGTGTCTTCAGTATTATCATAACTACAAAAGAACTGGGCCAGTACACATTTTCAGTAGCTTTATTTAATGCTTGAACTTTATATTGTCATCACTGATTATAGGTCAGATTGGCTTGTTTGCTGTGGTAGGGGAAGGAGAAAGTAAGCTCCTTCAAAAGCAGGACAGATCTTGACACTTTTTGTTGTTGATTTTACATGCATTGACTCTTTCCCCTCTCTTTTTTTGAATAGCTACATGTATTGGACAGACTGGGGTGAAAGTCCGAAGATAGAATGTGCTTATTTGGATGGCTCAGAAAGGAGAGTTCTGGTGAATACATCCCTGGGTTGGCCTAATGGCTTGGCCCTGGATCTTGAGAAAGAGAAGCTTTACTGGGGAGATGCAAAAACAGATAAAATTGAGGTGAGTAATAGAGCCACATTTGGGTGCACTACTTAGAAGACAAGTGCTGTCCTCGCGGTGCTTTGTGTCTTGAATGCGTTCATCCAGTTTTTGAGGAGTCTGTTTCATTAATATTAACATGATATTTAGCATAACAAGACATATTTGAGAAGGAAGCCAAATGTGTTGTTCAGAAAAAATTTTGCAAGAAATGTTATGTCGACATGGCTACAAGTGTAATTTAATTGCTTGAAATCTCAGGTTTTACCTGAGGCTTTTGCAACAAATTGGGACAGTCAGATGCAGCTTCTTTGATTTGACGTGCCTGTGGTGCTTGGTGCTAGCTAAAATTGCTGCATGTGGAGGACTTGACGCAAGGTTCGTGTATGGGAGGAAGGTGTCTGTGGCAGCCCTAGAAAGCCATGCTTCAGGACCTTAATGGTTCTGTGCTGTCCAGATGCATGGACAGGAAGTATTTTTTAACATACCACCTGCTTTGAGAACAATGTAGGCATTCTACCTCTGAATTTGAGGAGGGGAAATCCTCTTCACAATGTTGTATAAACACTTAGGACAGTATTTAGTATTTCTTAATTATTGAAAGAGCGTCTGATAGAACATGGTGTGACTGCCCCTTTCTTTGGGAAGAATTTTCTTGAAAATGCAAAAAAATTCGTCCTGTCTACCTGTTGCTTAAACAAAGACAAAATTGGACAAATATTCTTCTTACTTGTTACGATGTACTTCTGTGAGTAAGGTAGTGAAGTGTCTCTGGAGATTCACTACTTTAAATTTAAAAAAGGGTCAAGGCAGATGTTTGTAGTGGTCTAGCCTTGGAAATTGACAGTTGCACCAGGGAGACCCGAGATGTTTCAAGAGACATTCTCCTAAAGGAGGTGCCTTTTTTTCCCATTGGTATTGCATTAGTATCCCATGATTAACTCTTAATCTAGAAGAATAATTGAGCTGCCACAGAAGTGAAGCAAGTCTTAGGTAATGCTGCAGAGAACTGAGTCCCAAAGTAGTTTCACTCAGAGAAGGTGATAAATAACAGACGAAGTTTGAATGAAGGCTTGGGGCAAGCTTTTTTGGGGGCTTCTGAAAATGTGTTCATGAGGTTCTGAGATTTCAGTGAATTATTAACGTCAGTATCCAACTGAGAGGACATTCAGAAAAACTGATGGAGCTTGATGATGCTGTGCTGTACAAGGGCGTGTGGCATTTGTGTAACCCGCGAATACTGCCCAGCAGCCGTTCTGTGCTTCTGTTGTGGAGGTACTCCTGGAGTGGCGGGGGCTGTCTGTGGAGTAGTGGGCTAGCTTGCAGGAGTGTGGCCATTTCATCGGAGAAAGCCGAGGGTATGAGTACAGAATATGGACACAGCCAGATGTTGTGAAGAAGTCTCAAAGAGTTGCTTAACATCCTGTTGTGTTCAACACCACCCTCAATGCTTAGTTTCTAAATAAAATAGTTAAGAAGTGCATCCGGTTGTCGGCCACTTGTGGTCATATTTCTAGAACAGAAAAATTGGATTTTGAACCTCAGTCTGAAGTTGTTGTAGTAGGTTATGATTAAGCCAAGGGTTTGGATGACAGCATGAGGCGTGACCATAAGATGATTAGATTTGTCAGCCAGGCCAGTGTTCCTTTGTAATGTCTTGTTAAGCTCCAGGTGACCGATGTCCATAGGTCCCTTGACCTGGTTGTATTATTCTTAGTATGTAGTAGTCAATTATCTTCCATGATGCTGGAAGAACAGCTTGAAAATTAAAGGTGCTAAATAATTAGCTCTGAGTACTTTAGTTTAAAAAGGGAATTCTCAAGGGAATTTGAATTAGCTCCAAAGTAAGACAAGGGGAATAATCAGCTAATTGAAATAAATTAGTGAAAAAAATTATCAGACCAGAATGTGAGAGTAAAGACCCCCCAAAAAGTTGTTTCTCTTTAAAGCAGTAGTTTAAAATGTTATTCCCTATGATATAAGCTAGTTTGCTGAAGTCATGTTTTGACTATGCTATTACTATTGCCTGTTTCTGTACCAATAACTAAGAAAAGCAATACAGGAATTTTTCCCTGGGTCATGGCCTGTGAAGTTGTTGAGTTTTCATGTTTGGGGAGCAGCATATGCAGCATTTTTAGAGAAACAGATTTTGAGGAATGATTGCACTCTCTAAAGGTTTTGTCCTCAGTAAGACTGTTTGCAAGCTCCAGATCTGTAGCTTCAGTATTTGGCAATAGCTAAGTTCTGGGCTTGATGGCTGTCGGAGAGGTCCTCTGCCCCCTTACTTTTCAGCCTATAGGACAGGGAACATTCCAGATGCCCCTTCTATAGATGGGACCATAGTTGTGCAGTGTGTTTTGTGGGTTACAGTGGTCTGTTCAGCCTGTCTCACTTCATTGTGAGGCAGTGAAGCCAACAGTACTGTTTGGTTTGGCATCAAAGTTTAGGAAAATCAGAGAAGCCAAAGTAAGGGCTTTCTATTCCCTCAGTTTTTCTCTTGCTTATTATACTTACTTTTAGTGGTTCTCTTTTATTTGTAAAAATAGAGAGAAGAGGGTGGTTCACTTGGTCTTGCAATCAGAGGATAACTCTTCACGTGAAGTGGGTTGTGACATCTGTAGATACATCAATCCTTACATATTTTGCAACCCTGTTGTGCTCCTAGCAATGGGTTCCACATTTTCTTAGATTAAAATAGATGTAAGTGTTTTCATTTTAAGTCTTTAACACCCCGCTCCTTTTTTTTTTTTTTTTTTCTTTTTGCACTTTTTCTCTTTATGCTTGGTGTTTACTTTGTTAGCTGTTGTGAACAGACTCCTTTTGAGGCAGTATTTACAAATACCTGTATGGGCTTATTTAAGATGTGATGGGGGAAAAAAGCATGTTTGCCATCTGTTCTGAACCATGCTGTGAAGGGGCTGTTGTGGTCCCCTCTGGACTGGCACGAGTTAAAATGGTGCTGGCATGTTAGCGTAGAAATGGATGTTAGAGCTCCATCCACTGCAGGACTTCAGTTAGAAAACAGATTTTCAGTTTCCATTGTGGAAAAGGTGACCGACACGTTTGTGTATTGTAGTCCATTGGGAAAGAGCTGTGTGGCTTCAGCAGCCACCAGCACAGCTCAGATGCTGGCCAGTCTCAGACTGGTCTCCAAGAGAGCTTCTTGTCGTCAGTACTCCTCTAGAAGATGGAAAAAGTGTGCTAAGAAAATACTTTAGAAGAGAAGCAAATGGATCTGATGCATTGTATTTCACATGTATTGCTCAGCTTCCTGTATTTGTCACCTAGCAGTCCTTCCCTGCCAGATCTCTGCCTTGGAACCCTGATTGCTCCTATCGATACCCTGGATTTTCCCAGGAGACTGTAGTTTGTGCTCCTCTGCCACACAAAAACTTGCTGCATGGTGTGTGAGGTGGGACATCACCACTTTTACTTACGCTGTATTTATTCAGCATAAACTCCTTCCCTCCCACGTGCGTTCCATCCCCAGCAGCGTCCCATTTCCATGGCTCGCCATGCAGCTGCTGTCTCAGGGGTTTGTTCTGTGTGTGTGTATGACTCTTGCATCCACAGCTGGTCAGAAACGAAAAGTCAGCCTAGATGAGTGTCAGGATTTTTCGTTTGCCTGGTAAGCACCTGAAACTACTTGAAAGCATGTTACTGGGTACATTTACTTTATGTCGACACCTAAAACCACCATAGTAGATAGTCAGATGTAACTCTATTTTGTGAAATTTCTGTGAAAGTCAGAAGGTAAAGGAGAAAATTCCCATCTCCACTGTTTTCTTCTATCCATCCACTTCACCTGCCTCAAAATGTCCCAGCTTGCTGTGTAGAAACTGCAAAACAGGGTAAACTGGAACCATTATCTCTACTACTGTGCAGAGGAATGTTGGACTTAAAGCCTGTCAGGGAAGAAGTACAGTTAAGACTGGTACCTGATAATGTCAGGAGTGCACTATGGAGGCTTTTCTGTAGCTTTGACAAACTGCTTGTACATTAGAATTGCTTTTGTCCCTTCAGCTGCTTTCCATATAGAAAAAAACGAGTGAATATAGCTTGTGCATATTTCTGCTTGGTATTCTGCTCTGGTTTCTGGTATTTTAGATCTGCAGGGAGTCATCTTACTCTCCCTGGAAAGAAGGCCTCTTCATATACCAAGTTCTTAAACAGTGACTGAACTTTGTACAGCTTGGAAATTTGATAAGCTGAAGGCATTTGTCCTGTTTTTGCCGGACCTTGGGTTTGAAGCGTCCTGTAAATGTCTGGTTTGGTTTTTTTGTTTGTTTAGTTTGGGGTGGTTTTGTTCCTTTTTGGTAACACACTCTGACATCACTTTTGGGTGCTCTCTTCCACAGTTAGAAAAGGAATGCTGCAGAGCTGTTGAGGGTACCAAGCACAGTCCTAGAACAGGAGAGCATGTTCTTACTTGTGCGTGGAAAACTTCACAGGGTGAGAACAGCAGTTACCCTCTCCTGGCAAAACCCCTTTCCTGACCTTCCATCTGCAGCTCTCGGCTGCAGCACAAAGGGCCCAGTCACTTCACAAGCAGTTTGCATCCCGAAGAAACCATTTGGCAAGCATTGTCAAAATTTTGTGTGACAGGAGCCTATGGGGCTTTCCCTGCAGATTTGGCACCCTGTGGTAGCATTGTTCCTAGCTTTAAATTTTCTTTTTCTTAAAAAAAAAGAAAAAAGTTTGGCAAAGTGTACAGCAAGGAAAAAATATATAGCAAAGTTTGAGCTGGGTCTGTTGAAATGGTGTGCTTCCCTGCATGGCTTCAGCTATGAGTGAGGGGCATGGATTAGTCCAGCTGAACTCTGGATTTTACTGACAGAGAAAAGGTACTTTCCAGGAACAAACAGCAGATTAATAAGGATTACAGGGTTCCAGCAGAGAGAGAAACAAAGACCCAATGACATCCACGTGTAGAGTTTCCTAATTCTCCTTAAAAACTTATTTTGTGGTTAGCCAAGTTTTCCCATGTATTATTTCTTCAGCACTTGCTTGAAGTGCCTAAG